TGGTAAATTGATGGTCACATCCTGAAATTATTCTGTGAATGGTTGTTTTTAAAATTTTTGATTGCAAAAAATGTTTACAATTTATCGCTTGGGTACGTATCTAACCACATTGTACGTTGACATTTACAAAATATTATAAGCAGCTTAAGTATTTATGAATATTTTTTTTACCATGGCTACCAAACTGCAAGTCATTTACATTCATTTTTAAGCCAAAGAAACTTTTTCCCAAAACTGATGTAACATAGGTTATGTTTAAATAATTTTAGAAGAGGTTACACGAATTAGTTTCTGATCTTTAGTTAGCACCTTGCCGACACTTTTTTTCATATCACACCTCCAGTCAACGATCATTTAAAAGGATATCTCGGTGTTTCTACGACCCAAAAATAAACTATCTTAAATGATGGTGCATATTCGCCCTGAGGCGATTTAAATGCTTTTTTGTGTTTTTAACGTCATTGTGAAAGTTTTTAATTACTAAGAATTTCATATTCACAATACAACCCATCTTGTTTAAGTTAACTATAAAATTCAAACTAGGCAATATATTTGGGTCAAAATTTGACAGCCTTATTCATCAAAGTTTCATATGCATCATATACAAATGAAGGGGCAAGTGGATACAAATTACTTACAATAAATTAATTAATTAATTTAAATATTTTAAGCCATTTTTATATTCTTTATGAACTACCTTTAAGTTACTTAATCCTTTATTAATTATAATAGTTTTACTTTATGAAATGGTTATTTATTACGTTTATTCAATATAATTTATCGGTTTATTACTTTATTTTTACGATATAAATTAATCAATTAAAACGTTTTTCAAAAATCTAATAAATTATTTTGCACCTCCCGTTTATCTATACATTTATCTTTCTATTAAATTGATTTATATATTTATTATGTTTACATTAATTTATAAAATGCAATTGCATTATGTTTTACTCACAAAGCCTGTAATTATATGTAATAATATTATGTAAATTAATATTTTTTTATGTGCAAAAATATTGCTTTCTCTGCAATAAGCTTTCTCGAATCTATTTTTTTGCAGATGGAATATTAAATAAATATTTAACATGTTTACCTTCTATGTTGTTTGTATTCTTGAAACTTTTTATGGCAGGTTAAGAACATATCCACTTATCTACCTTGGATAAATCAAAACAAATGAAAGTAAAATAAATAATTAAAAAATTAAAAAAAAAATAATATTATTTTTACAATGCACACATTAATTTATCTAGTGATCGCAAAGGCTAGCCGCTGTTTTGTATATGGTTTTTAAATTATCGTCACCTAATGACCTACAGCACCAATAGTTTTATGTAACCTATTTCTGTAACAATGAAGTGCTAATTGTCCATTTATTTTCTTGTATGGCCTAGGAACGGCCATTTAAAATTTCTAAAACCAAAGAACTGCATGTAATATTTATTGCTGTTTTACTTGTCAATTTACACTTGGTTTAAATTCTGCAATACCTAGTAAATCATTATTATATTATTATTCGTATTATGAAATAGTTGTTATGTAGATACAATATAATATGTAAGCTTTAATAATACAAATACAAATTATAAAAATATTTTTTAGATAATAATTAGTAAGTTAAAGTTTTCGTGATTTAATATTTGTTTAGAATACGTAATAAAACTTAACCTTACCACAAGTTTCAGGTAAAGATTAAACAACTGTTTTAACCATTACTCTAACCAAATTCTTCACCTTGGTCATTTTGATTAATCAAAATTTACGTAATTTTTGAAATACGTAAGCTTAAATAATATTTTTGTTTAACATTCTTTACATATTTCTTTGAAACCTGGAATTTTACCATTTCACCGTGCTTTTGCTTGAAGCGTGCTACATAAACAGGCACCGACAGACAGCCTGTTTTGGACTTATTGGACCTCATCAGTGACGGATTAAACATTTTATATTAAGTTGATTAGTGTTCTGCATCAATGTTCAGTGTTTTGTGATCAATGGTTAATGTTTTATTCTCTTGTATTGATTAAAAAGTTAAATAGAGTGGGATTTCTTCATATTTCCATAAAAAATGGGTATAATTTGTATTCAACACCCATTTAATTTTTTAACTTCAACCGGTGGGCAAAATTCTACTTCGCCCAACGAAGTTCGCTTTAAGTTAAAATTGAAAAAAGGTTAAAAGCCTAGGGTTAAAACTGCTTGACAGTTGTCAGTTGTCAGATGTCAGATAAAATACATATTTAAATTGACTGTATCCCATGCGGTAGCTGAATAAATTATTTTGTGTTACAAATTAAACCTTCCGCTCGATGAATCTCCTCTTTCTCTCACTAGTCGCACAATATAATTTTATTGCTAATTTTACCTATCTAATCCAGTAGTAAGCATTTTTAAACATAATATGTTTAAAAATGCTTGAGATATTATCTCAATTGAAACTTTTCCTTACAGTTTTTATCACATATTACGCACGGGTTTGGATAAGCATTTTTATTACACCCTGTATTTCTAGTATGACATTTTTTGTATGTGCATTTAGGTTGCCTTGTAATTAAAATAAATTAAATTGATATGTATTTAATAGCAACATAATATTTATGTTATCGCGAACGTTTGTTATTGTTTGCATAATAGTAGTTTAGTTATATCACGAGCTATTATACAGATTGTTTGTTTTTTTCGTCGATCCGGAACCAAAGAAAATCCCACGACCCACTAATAGATACGTTAGAAATCGCAAAACGGCTTCTTGAATTAACCTAAAACCAAACAATAGTGTATCATACCTTAAGTTGTCAAAGATCACCGAGAAAGGAACTTATAGTTTGTCCAAACTACTACTTAACCATGACAAAGTGAATTATTTTAAATTTCAAATATTTTTCTCCATCTAATTCAAATACTACTAAACCCATAAATAACTTGATCTTTAAGGGTGTTTTAACATAATGTTGTATTTTACTGTTGTATTATATTATGTTATATATATATATACAGGTATATAATACTATACAGGGTGGACCAAGTATGCTTCAATGAATGTGTATCTTTTTTATTTGAAAAGTTACTATGTTGGTTAAATAAGAGAAAAGTTGCATAATTACAAGTTTATTTTAATCTTAACCAACTCAACCCAACCCAACCCAACACTTTAGTATCGAACCCGGTACCTCTCGGATGCCAAGCGACCGCAAAATCGAAAAAATAAAATCAATATATTTACCAATTAAATAGTTACAATGTATTAAAAAGAAGATATTGTACAAGACCGCAATGTGGTAATGAGGTTGGCTGTAAAGAGGCTCGTTAAGGGGTGAAACCTCACTTCCACGAGCCTCATCTGAGCTATTCAGCTTAAGATTAATTTTATAACGCTCGGGGAATAAAAACGGATTTACAGTGTGTGACGTCAGTCGGGATCGAACTTAAGCAACTTCGAATAAATAAACACACCGATTTGATTATCAGACCTTTGAAAAGCTTTGCTCTGACCTATGCGCTCCGATGTGACTACCTAGATTTAAAACTGTGATCAATGGCGCCGACGTTTTTTTTACTCTTGAAAAATTAATTTATCAAAATAAATGCCTATTTTGCCTTTTTAGTATCTTTTTAATTTTTAAGAGCTTACAATTCCGGTCTCTATTTATTACTAATATTATTATCTTATTTTTAATTAAAAACAAAATTCCTAAACCCTAAATGTAAAAATTATTATATTATTTCACTCCATTAAATAAATTTTGTTACTTCTGCTTATAAATTTATTAGAAGTAATTAATTATCATTACAACGCTTTTCTAATTAAGTTGTGGATAGTAAATTATTTATTGGATAAAATAAATTTCCAATAAATTAAAGCCAATTATAACTATAAAAGCATTTAAAAGATTTTATGATATATGTGCACATTGTGCATTCGGGAAACTTGGATTAAAATGTACTGCTATTTAATAATTGCACAAGGTGGTCCATAATATTATAAGAACTCTCCAAAAAAATAATTAAAATTTTATATAATTCTTGTAAAAGCTCAAAATATTCAAAACTAACCAACAAAAATAACTTATTACCACACATTTTTTTTCATTTTGTAATTGGACAAAGTATTTTTATTTCTAATAAGAATTCAGAAATAATTAAGAATATTTATATATATATATTTATAAATACATAATGTATTTTAATATTTTTTTCAATATTGTGTAAACTGATCTTTCTACTCCATTTATCATGTGTATCAATAATTGTAGCACAGTGCTACAATTATTGAGTAATCGCTTTCAGTCCAAATAGGTCTATTGCTCAAAGAAAGTAGACCAACATACTAAGAAAACCCTCGCAGGGTTTGGTGATATAGGTAATCTCGCAATTTTTTTATGGCCTTTTAAAGTTCACATTTTTTGTGGCCAATTTTTCGACTGTTTGCGACTTGGTCAATTAAATAAATAAAATAATCAATAAATTTAACATTGTATCATTAAAAAAAGCGAAATATAGTAACTCCTGCCCATGCTCACTGCAGTGGCGGATCCACGGGGGGTTCAGTAATTGACTTACAACTCGCAGACAGTAAAAAAATTACCTCTAAGAATTTCTTAGTCTGTTGGCCTACTTTAATTTCGCGAAACTATTGAAACTATTTGGGCTGGAATTTCTTGTTTCAATAAATGCACTTTGGAAATACATATCAAAAAATTAAAGATATGTATATATAAGTCTGATTTTTTATCTAAAACAACATCATTAATTCCGATAAAATCTTTAAATACATGTGTCAATTAGTAAGTAATATTTCTAAGAAAATTGGGAAAGGTTATTAAACCATTGACATATAACACCAATACAATTGATTCCACTTTATAGTGCTCATATTGTTTTAATATTTAAGGTTTAATGAAAGTGTCAAGATTGCATAAAAGATAATTGTATTGAAATTTTTCATAAAACCATTATTAATCTTTATCAGTCTAAGCATATTGTCTCATCTATTTCAGGTGACACCGGCAGGTCGTCACGCTTTGACCTACGACGAAGAATCCTGGAAACCAAATGAAGAAGAAAAGTCGAAAGAAAAGAGCGAATTCTCGCGATCTGCAGACGCGCGTCAAAGTAAAACAAAACGTGTGAAGAACTACCTAAAAAAATGCAAAAACGCGCTTGGTAGTCGTTCGAATAGTTCGGAACAATCTTCCAACGGGGAACCTGGTCCTTCGTCTTGGTATCTGGATAACCCTTTAGGAATACTCGTTAACGAAAGTCAGGTCAATGAATTAGAAGATGTTTTTGAAGACGCGCAAGTCGACGTTAATCTCGGCAGTAAAAAACTTGAAGTTGCTAATGTCGTTGAAGTTAAAGGTCCTAAACCCGACCAAACGGTCGAAACGGATGACGTTTTAAAGGTTACTCCGTTAAGTAAAGAAGCCTTCTCGCCTCCCTTGATTTCCATGCAAGAGACGGATGACGAAAGCGACGAAATTTTGTATAAAGATTGTGAAGAAACCAATTTTCAACAAGAGCAGACCAAATGCTCGGTAAGTAAATTAGTTTTAAAATTAATTTAACTCTGCCTTCTACGGTATTATTAATTACCAAGAAAAATTTAAATGCATTTAGCATCCATTATAAAACATTTTCTGTGTTAATTAAAATTATTTGGGTTAAGGATAAATTGGCGTTAATAACAATAATCTAATTCATGCCTATGAAAACAAACTCAATAATTTGCATTTAATCTGTTTGTAGCCGGCAAGAAGCTGAACCAAACTCATTGTTAAGGAAACATTGACATGTACTACATAAACTCTTATCGATTGTATTACATAAAAAGTCATTTATTTATTACGATTGTGAGGAAAATGCGAATGACCCAAAAAACTATTTACTTTTATACAGCTTGTCTATTCATTCCAAACAGTAACAGACTTTAATGGTTAGGCTTAAAACCCCATTATTATAAGGAAACAAGATTCAAGATAAAGTATCCTTACCAATATTTTTTGTTTACAATATTTTATGTTCTTCTTAGTATTCTTTTTAACATTATTAATGTTATTTATATAATAGTTATCTTAATATATTAATGTTATTATTTTATTCTTAAATATACGTTTTACAGTCGATTTTAAATGTTGTGTAGATTTTATATTATGGTGGAAGAAAATAAAAAATCCCCCATAGTAAATTTTCTAATAGATTTGACTGACCAATCTAGTGAAATTAAACTATTTGACTTCAGATATAGTTGTTATTTTGTTAAATAACACATCTGATTTTTTGTCAAGGTGAGGTAAGGTTTCGTGGAAAACCCTTTAGTGTTAGTTAAGTAGTTTAAAATTTATTAACCTCTTTATTACACTGACCCCTTTTAATTTTTGGTTTATTTTGGTGGATTTTATTCTGGCTTTTTGTAAAACTGGGTGTTTCTTGTAATTTGTGACAATGGATAATGCCGTACTCTAAATGGTTTGTTGCTTTCTATGGAAAGTTAAGCCGCAAATTTCAAGAGACACTTTTCAGCTATTATATTTTTAACCTTGATGAGTATTTATATAATTATTCTGGAAAAAAACTTTTCATGTGCTAGCAGGAATTGGAAAACAGGAAAAAACAACAAAATTTAATTTTTGGACCTAGGATCGTTTTCTCTGAGCGCGTAATATAATTATAATAATTAATTATTATAATATTTTTTTAAACATAGTTATGGTCTACAAGATGTTTTTTAAGTTACAGAAAGTTACAGAATTAGGTCTTTTTAGTAACTTGAAACAAAAAACAGTTTTTAGAGATATCTAGATGTAATAGAAACGTATTCTTGCTTGGTTTTTAGTCTTTATAAGTAAAGGTATTTTAAATGTACACCCTGTATAATATTAGTAAATATTGAATTTAAACACGCGTAACCAAACAAATCACTAGCTCTAATGGTGCAACTCACATGCAAAGCAAATATAAATAGACCTAAGCTTTATCTTCCGCAAAACTGTACTTTAATTGTAAATGAAAATTTACATACCAAGAATGTTTACTATAGAACTGACGTTTAATAAACTGTTTAAATAGTACTAAGTAGCCGCTAATTGGCATTTTTTATGTTCCTTTGTGGCCTTACATTGTTGTGAATCACCTTCGAGGTATTGAACTTAATTTACCACTAACAAGAATTTAACACAATAAACAAGCATAGAGAAATGTTTTATTTTTAGCATTATGTATCTTTTTTAATATTGTCTAAAATTAATTGAATTTAATATATTATTGTTATTGAACACATTAAATATCAAATAAATATGTATATATTTATTAACAAAATTAGGTATCAAGATAAATAGACTTTTAGTAATAAGTTATTACAAAGTAAATAAAAATGTCCTTAAATTTGGATTATGTAAAAATATGACTTAACCATTTTCTTTATTCAACAGACAATCATATTATTGGTATGTTTTTAATGATTAAATAACTATTTATAAATTAAGCAACATAAACAGTGTACAATCTCGAAATATTAGCATTTTTTAATTGAATCGTTGCCGCTAAATGGATTGTAAAACGATTTTAATTTTCTTTAGCCTTACATTTTGGAGCCATTTTTGTTTTGTTTAATGCAAAACATCGACATTTTTTTAATTTTTATATATTTTGTATAGTCGCACAAAATATTTTGGATAGTCACAAAATATTTTGGATAGTCGCACAAAATATTTTATTCAACTACCGCAAGGAATTTAAAGCCAATTTTACTTAATATATTATCTAACATCTGTCAACTGTCAAACAGTTTTAACGTTACTTTTTTCCGGAAGGCTAACTTTAGACCATGAGCGAAACTGCATTTTGCCTACAGATTAAATAAATGAACACTCGGGAAAAATATTCTGCCCACTTTCAGTCACAAAATTATATATTCCTCGCGGGTTTTTGGCTATGTTTTTGACGACCAAGAAACATTTATGTGACATGTTGTCAACCATGTAAACTTCATAAAAAACCTCCCCGTTAGAAAAAGAATTGTAATTTTTCTAAACTTAAAATATAAATTTTCCCTATCAAGTGTTATGTCGTCAGTGCCCCATTGTTGTTAGACACTATGTGTACATTTATAAGAAAAAAAAATAAACAAAATTATCTTAAATTTATCTAGTTTATTCTTACTTTATCTGATAAAGTTTATATTTATCTTGTTTGATGAAACCCAACTTTATTTTAGCTAATAAAATAGAATATTATGCAACGACCCTTTAATGATCTCTATTAATTAAGACATGAGCATGAGAATTATGACATGATCCGAAGGCGAATATCATAATAAGTGCGAGTGCCTTAATAGACCATAAAATGAAAGTTGCATGCGCCAGTTTTTCTACGACTATCATAATAAAGTAGAAAATTAAAATTATAATTCTGAAATGTTTTTATATCTTTACGCTGATTTATTTTCGGCTTTTGTGGCCTGTTAAAATTCCTGGCAGGGTTAAATTTTTAATTTCCCTAAATTTAACTTTAAAAATGGTCATAATGGATAATTATAATGGATCTTGTTATAGTACATGTGGGAAATGTCTAATAAATGAATTAAAGTATAGTAGGTAGTAGAAAAAATACATAATTGTTTATGTTTTAAAGACATAGAATTATATAAAATTTTTCAAAGCATGCAGTTAAAATGTAGTTTTTGACCAGGGATATAAACGCCGACAATATTATATTATACCTATATAAAAATATTTTTTTCCAATACCATTGTAAAAAAAGTCGTTTTTTTAAGTGTCAACAGTGGGTCATTTTTGATGAGGCAAAAACATATTTTTTAAGTGGATTGCAATTTAATCATATATTATATCACGAGAACTATGAATTTAATCGGTTAAACTAGGCTCAGTAGTTTTTTGTTTGGTTTTTGTTGGAAAATGTTGAATGCAAAATAATTTAATAAAATCACGAGACCGCGTAGTGGTCGAGGGGTTTTATTTTTAATTATTTTGCATTAAACTATTTTCCAAAAAGAAAAATCAAATAAAAAACTTACTTAGCATAGTTTGACAGATTAAATTTATAGGTTGAGTGATATACGTCTAGATTATTTCTCGAATTAAAGGAAACTCTTTGACAATTCATAAAATCTGACGTATGTGTCAATATTTATAAATATTTTTTTAAAGAAAATTCCATTATTTTAAGGTATGTAATAAGTAATAATTGATATTTTGTAAACTAGATAACTTATTTTTTATTGTTTTTTAAAAAATGTTTGTTAAAACTTGTAAATAACACCATAAAATTGTAAACAAAAATCCAATATGGAGGTTAAAATTTAATCGCTGTTAAATAGTTCTAGCGATTTAATCGCTTATTTAAACGAAATTTATTCGAAAATTCAAGGCTTTTGATTTGTTCATATTATAATGAGGGAAATAATCAGAATAAATTAGTCAACATTGACTAATAGTTATTAGGGGCTGCTTTTTCACTTGTACCATGGAATACCGTGGTATCTCAAAATTTAATAGCCAATTCTTATGTAAAATTATCTTCTGAATCAGGGAATCAGAAAATTATGGAAATGGAGCAGTTTTTGAGATATAGTCATATAGCCATATTAAATGGAAAATTGACTATATCTCAAAAACTGTTCTGTTTTAAATTTTGACGGTATTTTCGGATTCAGGTGACAATTTTACAAAAGAATTGGCTATTAAATTTTGGGATACCATATTATTTCATGGTTAACCATGGTACAAGTGAAAAAGCAGCCACTAATAACTATTAAATTAGTCATTTTTGACTATTTCACTTTTTGAGAGTAATGGTGGATTTATGCAGCACAAATTAACATTAAGATTAACTTTAACATTAACATTAAGATTAAGATTAATTTAACATTAATAGGAGGGTATTTATGCAGCAAAATTAGTAGCAAATTAAGCATGCGTATAAGTTAAAGTAATTTTGACATCTGACATTATTTATTTGTTTGAATTTTGTTTTAATCCCGTTTTAGCATCTGTTAAGTAAAATAAATGAAAACTATAAACTCCACGTCAAACAATAAACCAAAGAACACAATCATTGAATAAAAAATTAATCATTCAGCAGTAAGTTTCATTTTTTTTTCGGGTATGTTAGCATTACTGACACGGTTTATTTAAAAATTGCGCCGCAAACCTGCGCAGGAGGAATAAAAATTAACATTATCATTAAGAAGATAAAAGTTGGCCATCTCTTAATGTTAACTTAATGCTAAAGTTAATGTTAATGTGTTGCATAAAAGCTTCCAATGGATTACGTTCATTTAACTTCTTAATGTTAATGTTAATCTTAATGTTAATTTGTGCTGCATAAATCCAGCATAAATTAAAAAAAAATTATTTAAGAAAACAATGAATTTAATTTGTATGGTTATTAATGTTATTATTATTAATACTACAATTCATTCCTTGATGCAGTAAATAAAATAATTGTAAATGTCAAAATTTTTTCTTTACATTTTTAGAAGTTAATTATAAAATTATTATGGTATTAGAAAAAATAA